CTCTCCTAGACCTCCTCATTTCGAAGATATTCACAAAATTATTTCATAAATTTTTGGGATTTTTTTGTGAATTCAATTTTTTTATTTTTGTCAATTGTTAATATCAGTCATTTTTCTATAAAGAAATTTCCATGAACCCAGAGTTCACTTTTGGTTTGGTTCGTCAGGGCTGGGGGGGATTTTTTTATTATTTTAATAGGTGTAGGGGAGGGTGGGGTAAAATGAACAACTTTAGACTTTTTTTTAATTGTTCATAATTCAGAAACAAATTTATCAATTAAGCTCCGTTTGGGCTCGTCGCAAAGAATCGTTCTTTGTATTAAAAAAAAAATTATTGAATTTTATCAACATTTCAACCCCTCATTAAGATTGTAAAAAAAGTCAAAAGTGTCCGTTTTACCCCAACCTCCCCTGCATCCTCTCCTAGACCTCCTCATTTAAAAGATATTCACAAAATTATTTAATAAATTTTTGGGATTTTTTTGTGAGTTAAATTTTTTTATTTTTGTCAATTGTTAACGTCAATCCTTTTTCTATAATCAACATTTCAACCCCTCATTAAGATTTTAAAAAAAGTCAAAAGTGTCCGTTTTACCCCAACCTCCCCTACATCCTCTCCTAGACCTCCTCATTTCGAAGATATTCACAAAATTATTTAATAAATTTTTGGGATTTTTTTGTGAGTTCAATTTTTTTATTTTTGTCAATTGTTAACGTCAATCCTTTTTCTATAATAAAAAAAAGTCTAAAGTGGCCGTTTTACCCTACCCCCCCCCCCCCTAAAATTTCTTTTGAAAAATATTCATCACATTTTACTCCAAGCGATTCCTCAAAGANCGTTTTACCCCCCCCCCCCCCCCTAAAATTTCTTTTGACAAATATTCATCACATTTTACTCCAAACGATTCCTCAAAGACCTCTATAAACCCCTCCCAAGCACCTAAAAGTGTTCTAAAAATTAAATTCCAGACCCTCCACCACCATCACCACCAAAAGGAGCCCCAGGCCGCCCAGGTGCAAGCCTACCCCTTCACCTTCATCTCGGCAGTGAAACGAAAGCTCTCCCTATCAGCCCAGAATGCCTCCCAGCACCTAAAAATCCCCCTGGACCCAGTGATCCTGCCCCCGGAGATGGACTTCGTGAAGCCGCTGAAGGTCCCAGACCTGAAGATCCTCCCAAAGAGCCTGGACTACTCCCCGCACCGTCAGAAATTCCCTCACCCCCAGAAAGACCCCCCGAAGCCCGAAAAGTCCCCAAAGGTCTCCCTGGCGCACCGCAAACTCGACTTCTCCGGCTCTGACTCCTTCACAAACGACGATTTCGAGTCGTTGAAGGCCCCGGACATCTCCTTCCCCTCGAACCTCTCGAAGAAATCCTACCCCCGGGACTCCTCACGAGAGAAAGAAAACAGATCGAAAAAAACTCGAAAAGAGGACTCAAGTTTCTCGAAGGGTGAGGACTCTGACGCCTCGCGACGCAGAAACCTGCGGCACATTTCACGAAAGGATCTCGAGGAAATTGTGCAAAAGTCAAAGACCGAGAGGTTCTCACTGGCCCCAGAGCTCCTGAACCCCAGGAAGTCCCAGAAAAAGGCGCCCTCATCGAAGAAGGACTCCAGATACCCAGGAAAGTCCAGGGAGAGGTCCTCCGAGGGCAGAGCAAGAGCTCCAGAGTCTATTCCAAAGGCCAGGGAGTCGTCTCGAGGGTCAGGGAGTGAGAGCTCCCTGCAGAAGCACCCTGAGGACTCGAAGCACCGAGTGTCCTCGAAGGAAGTGAAGAAACTCCTGGAGAAACCCAAGAGGTCGTCCCCAAAGAGCTCCAGACACAGCGAATTATCTGAGGAACTTGATGCTGAGAAAGTCAAGAGGAGAAAGGAGGGGGAGAGATCCCTGACGGATTCAGGTGGTGAAGTCTTCCTGGACCCCAGGAGGATCTCCTTCAGGGACGACAGCTACCAGCAGGAGGAGTTCGTCAACCTGGTGACGCCTGAGTTGAACCTGAATCACAAGCACAGGCCCAGAAGGGAGGGAAGGCCTCAAGCGAAGGAGGACGAGGAGGGTAATTCACCGTTGGAGGGAAATCCTGGGGATCGAGATGTCCTGGTGCACCCCACAGCCCTCCACATGCAGTTCCAGGCGGAGCTCCATCTCTTTGATTCTTACAATGAGTCCCTGAGGCAGGTGATGGACGTGGAGAATAGTCTGTACAGTGTCAAGCAGGAGAAGGAGCGAGAGGCCAGGAGGTGCTTGCTGGGGGGTGAGCAGCTGAAGGAGGCTGACGAGGTTTCGTCCCACGTCGAAGTCCCCGAGGAGCGCCCCCAGGACTTGGAGGAGCCGAAGAAACCAGCCCGAGAGGTGCAGACACAAACGGTCAACGACATTGCCACCCAGACCGAGACAGACCCCTCCAAGACCTACCCAGGGATCACGTACAACCGAGGCTCCCTCTGCGACCTGAACATCGACTCCCTGAACGACCTGGAGAAGCTGGAGGTGTCCCTCCCCAGCCAGATCCGTGCCATGTCCGAGATAAGTCTCCACGAGACGACGTCCTCCATAAAAACAGAGACAGGAACGGAAATCAGTATTTCAACTCGAGACGTCACGTGCTCCTTCAACAAGTACCTGGACCACGAGATGGCCCAGCTCATAAAGGACGAGAAGCTGATGTACGACAAGATCGAAATGCTGTTCAAGTACAGGGAGAAAACGTTGAACGACAGGACCAGGAAGATTGTTAAACTCGAGGAGCAGAAGAGGGCCCTGAGGGACACTGGCCAGGACAGCAGGATCAGTTCAGTGAAGAAGAAGCAGAGGGCATTGCTGCTGAAGCTTCAGCAGGAGAAAGAGGAGATGAATCGTCTGAAGGAGCTGCACAAGCTGGCGAGCCAGGAGAGGAAGTTGATGCTGCAGAAGCAGAGGAATATGTTCAATCCCCAGATGTCGACGAAGACCTTCCTCACGAAATTGAAGAGGTCTGCTGACTGCCAGTCCCCTAGGAGGCTCTCGGGCCCGATGAAGGGGTATGACATCAGGTCGAACAGTTCAGTGAGTTCTCTGGTGGATTCTGATAAGTCTCAGCTGGAGAGGTCTCGCCAGAGTCTGGAGAAGAGCGATCACGTCCCTTCGAAGCTGATTCAAGACTCCAGTTATTCGTCGCAGGTGGAGTCTCCTAAGAAGTACGAGGTGAAGACCAGGAAGTTCGAGGAGAAGATGCCTAGGGGGGACTTACTGAGGATGAAGGCACAGCAGCTGGAGATCGATGAAGGTTTGGGGAGGAATGCTGGGACTCCTGGGGATGGGGAGGATAAAACGGAGTCTGATACTCTCGTGGAGGATTTGTCGAAGAAAAATCCTGACGGGGAGAAGAGTTGTAGGAGGGGAAAGGTTGAGGACAAAGCTAGGAAGGTTCTGGGCTCTCCTGAGGGGAAGGGCTTCAAGAAGAAAGGGGCGAAGACTGTGAAGAAGTCTGGATTTGACAATGACGCTGGAAAGTACATGAAGAAGGCGAGGGAGGACAGCTCCACTGAGGGGGATGGGAAGGTCGATCTCGATGACAGTCAGACTTCTCTTCAGGCTTTGCTGAAGCATTCCAAGGCGGTTAAGGAGAAGAACCACAGGCTAATGAGGGATATCGCTGATGAGGATGCCCAGGCAATGAGCGTCGTCAAGGAGGGGGAGGGGCATGAGGAGGTGCAGGGCTTGGGGAATATTTCTACGAGGTCGCATGTTAGCACATTCACGATTTCGAGGCACAGTTCGGGCGACAGTGAGAAGAGCTATTCGAGGTCAGTGGTGATTAGGTCGCAGGATCATCGGTTCAAGGGGCCCAAGAAACTGGCGCAGTGAGTATTTTTGAACATTAAATTTATTGTGATAATACTTGTTTTGGTCGAAATGTGAAATCAGTCAACTTGAGGAAATGTGAAAAAAAATCGTCGGAGGTGGGGTTTGAACCCACGACCCTCAGGTTTCCAGTCTGAGTCTTTACACACATGGCTAATCACTCGGCATTGAAATTTATAACGATAACACTTATTTTGTCCGAATGTGGCAGAAATCAATTTGAGGAAATGCGAAAAAAATTTGTCGGAGGTGGGGTTTGAACCCACGACCCTCAGGTTTCCAGTCTGAGTCTTTACACACATGGCTAATCACTCGCCATTCAAATTTATACCGATAACACTCATTTTGTCAGAATGTGGCAGAAATCAATTTGAGGAAATGCGAAAAAAAAATTTGTCGGAGGTGGGGTTTGAACCCACGACTTTTAGGTTTCCAGTCTGAGTCTTTACACACATGACTATCCACTCGGTATTAAATTTTGTTGATTTTTTTTTTGCTGAAAAATTTTGGTGAATTTAATTCGATAATCGGATGTCTCAGACACATCCACAGTCACTACTTCCGATGGCTTGAATTGGTCCGCGGCCTGAGTATTAAAAACAAAATTCAATCGACTCGTTACAATTTACCCCTAAAGGAGGTATGGATGGAGGGAGGGAAAATAGACTGGTACCCACTGGAAAATTTCCCGAGTGTCTAATAATAAACACCCGAAAATACAGTACCCTGCAAACGACGTTGCGGAATAGTAAAAATAGAGCTCTCGATTTAGATCGGTTTTCCCTCCCCTTTTTGCAAATCACCGGCTGATCCAGTGGATGTTAGCCAATGCAGTGTGAAAAACCATTCTTATTTTCCGCCAGAAAATCAAATACCAGACGTCTTAATCCCCCTATTCCCCACCACAAACGCAAATTCCCAGGATTCGAGGCACTATTTGCCCTCATCACAGTAATTATCTCTCCATTCTGATGGCAATTCGATTCATTAATCGATTGAATCGATCTATTTGAGGATTTTAAATGCACGAGAGGCTGCCCTGGCCACCAGAAGAAACTGCGTGGAGGACTGGATCGCTTGGCACGCGAGGCTCAAAGCCGAGGAGAGCAGAGTTGCACGGATGGAAGAGGCTGCTTACAAGCTCGTCAGTGCAACGACAAATGCCCTCTGCAATGGTAAATTCATCTCAAAGTAATATTAATGCACAGTGATCTGTTGGAATCTGTCATTGTTTTATTTTTTTCAGATACGACGATTTCCTCGGACACGAGTGACGTCGAAGGACGAGTGGAACTATTGGCTGAGAAATTGACTGAGAGACGAGCTGAGATGGCTAAGCTGAGGAAAGAGGCCAGGAGGCAGGCGAAACAGAGATTAAAAGCTCTGGAGGCTAATCTTTTGAATCAAATTAAGGTTTGTTTCATTAAAAATCTTCATCTATGGTTTCAATTCATTCTTTGGAGATTTAAATTGATTGGGACGTAAATTTTAGATTTTTATTCATTTATTTAGTAATTAATTGAGGATTTTTAAAATATTTTTTCATTTTTTTAATCGATTTTTCATCTGATATTTTAATTTACAATTCATCAATTTGAAAATTAAATTGATTTCCTCAATCAATTCACTATTTTTATATATAAATTCAAATTAATTAATATAAATCAACTCAACAATTCGTTATAAATGTCTTCAATCTTTTCTATTTCCTCAATTTTTGAATTTTTTTATCAACTTAAAAAAACAGGAATTAAACTCAATCTTCCAATATTTTAGTCTTCAATTTATCAATTTGAAAATTAAATCGATCGCTAATCAATTCAACACCTTTTCCTCAATCATCGCCTGAACTCATTAATTTAATTCACTTCTTCATTCTTCTCTAAATCATCAAATGAATGAATTGAAGTTAATTTCAATATTCCCTCAGCCTTTCATTAATAAATAAATAAAATTCTCCCTTGTCCACCAGAAATACGACACAACAATCCACGAGATGCGTAAGAAGCTAGAGTCAAAACGCCTCCCCCCAAAGGAGAACGGCAAGCTAGCAATCGAGGCTAGGAACCTCTTGGACTTCAAGGTACCTGAGATCCCCATAAAGCGAATCCAGGAGATCTACCGCAACAGTGACTTGCTCCACTCTCGATCAGAGTCCGACCTGATAACAGGCACTCGTTCCCAGTCGGACTCCCCCCAGGAGCTGGTGAAGCCCCTGAGCAGAAGCATCGAGTCAGTCCTCGAGGACGCCAGGAGCCACTCGAGAAGATCAACCCCAAGAGGGTCCCAGCTAAATTCCTCCGAGGAAAGAATCAGTGAGATTTTCGAGGCTGACAGCCCCCCAAAGTCCCACACCTCATCCTCAAACTCGAAAAAATCATCAGAAGAAATTAAAACAGCCAGTGAGGCCTCGATATTCTCCCACAAGATGGACCTCCTCCAGCTGAATAATAAAACCGACCTGGACGAGGACATCAGCGCCCTGGAGAACGACCTGAGGACCCTCTCGGAGATGATGTCGATGTTCACGAGAAAATCAGTGGAGAAAAAATCATTCCAGACCCCAGGATCAGGGAAAAACACATCCAGAGACATCAGCGAGGATCTGACGAGATCCGAGAACATTGATACAGAGCTGGAGAGCATTCCGGAAGCCAAGAGCCCATCGAAAGCATCTCCCGAGGTGTTGAAAACCTCCGAAGTGTCTCCAAAGACATCTCCAAGGACATCATCAACGATTCCCGAGAAAGAATCAATAAAATCCCCAGGAAAAAGTGACGTTGATGAAGGGACTGTCAACGATGTTGACTCAGTGATCTCAGAGCACCTGAAAACCACTGGAAATATTCTAGAAATCAGTGGAGCAGCCCTGGAGAGGAGCATGGAGACCCTCCACAAGGAGAACGAGGCCTTGTCCTCAGATTTCACGTCACTAGAAGGCGATATCAAGTCCATTTCCGAGATGATCTCCAAGATGAGTGAGAGTAAAAGTTTTTTGGGGCTTCCTGAGGGGCCAGTTGATGCTCCAGGAGTGGAAATCCCTGGAGATGACGTTGAGGAGGCAGTTTTCCAGGTGAAAAATTCAGAAACAAACGTTCTGGAGGCTTCAGTTCCAGTTGAGTCGTCGGGGAGATCGTCAGGATCATCTCCTGGGGAACAGGCTGATCGTGATGATGGGAATGAGAGCTCATTAGTGTCTGAAAAATCGGTGGAGGTGAGAAATTCCTCTGAGAGGGATGGCCTCAGTCTGGATAAGAGCGACTGGACTGTTTCCGATTCTTTCGAGGTGCCCAAGGTCTCTTTATTGGAGGATGATGGGGGTCAGTCGGAGGAGGAGGATGAGGATGATGATGGTGTTGATGATGATGCTGATGCTGATGATGATGATGATGATGATGAAGTTCCAGAGACGACATTCGTCGATGAAAGAGTATCATATCAAGAACCTGAAGAATCGATCTTCCTTCCTGGATGTGAATCCACGAAAATTCATGGAAGAGACGATAATGATCATCCAGGGGTGCACACTGACGAGCTCGACGACATCCTGGACATCATCGAGAGGGACAGGCAGGCCTCAGAGAGACCCCAGGATCACTACCAACTGCCTGATGATTTAAATCTCGAAATTAGAGAGACTGCAGCTCCCCCAGGGGATTTATCTCTGAATTTAACAGCAGACGTTGAGCCTGTCCTTCAGAAGTTGACTGAGATCCTCATAAATGTTGAGAAGAACATTGCGAGAAGAACGGAAGGAAAAGCAACTCCTGAAGACGACGAGACAACGAAATCGAGTGAAAATATTGATTTTAATTATGAGAATCTCAGGGAGACTGATATTGATGAGAAAATCGAGATTAATGAGCATCTGGATGAGGCCTTGAACGAGCTGAACCTCGAGGAGGAACTTTGTGTACCCCCAGGACCTCGAGAAGCCCCGGAAGCCCTTGAAAAACCCCCAGAGGCTGATAATCCTCCCTCGAAATCTGAGATAAATGCAAGAAAAATCGAAAAAACTCCCGAAGTGACGGAAAATCCTGAGTACGAGGACATCTCCGAGGAGAGTCTGGAGGTCTCGGAGATCCTGGACAGATCGGACTCGCAGAAGTCCTCCCAGAGGTCCTCAAAGTCCTCAAAAATCCCGGAGAAGTACCAAATAATGGAGAAAACAGACGACGTTTTGAGGATTCTCGACGAGATCTCCAGGAAGTCAGCGAAGGATAGAGAGCCTCCACCAGGGGCTCACCCCCACGAGGTGGAGATAAATGTGGAGGTCTTCGGGGATATCTCCCCTGCATGCCTGCCAGGAGTCGTGATCGAAGAGGTCGAGGGCCAAAAGTCCCTGGAGAGCAGTGAAAAATCAGTGGAAAAATCAGTTGGGCCTGTGATCGAGGAGCCCGAGGACTCCAGGAAGATCGAGGAAGAGGAGGAGTCCAGCGAGGCTGGGGACACCCCCAGGGAGGTGTCAGAGATCGACCTGGACTCCCCAAGAGACCAGAACGAGTCGAGACTGGACATCGAAGCCCTTGACGATGATTTATTATGCCAGAATGAAGGGGAGAAGGATCCTGAGGTCGAGTACCCAGGGAGTGGCATCTCCACCTCTGAAAAGGACATCGAGCTGATGATTGACAAGCTGAGGGCTTCCTTGGAGCAGCCTGGCCTGGCTGTTGCCGAACTGGAGGCCAGGGTCTTGAGGATCGAGCAGCTGCAGATTGAACTGGAGCTGGAGAAGATTAAGAAGCTGGAGGCGGTGGAGGAGGTGTCATTGTACATGAGGGAGATTCCTAATAAACCTCCACCTCCTTACACTCCCCCAGGGGTGGTGAGGCTGGCATCTCCGCAGATATCACCGACACTTCCACCTGCGGTGATCCCCACGAATGTCGAGGAACTGACGGCGTTCACGGAGAAGGCGACAGCTCTGATTTATCATTCCAAGTTTAATGAGGACGAGATTATGTCCCTGGAGGCGCCCTTGGACATCCTGGAGTCCAGTAAAGACAGTAATGAGACGTCGAGGAGGGATAGGAAGATTTATAACACGTTTTTGTTTGATCTCTGCAAAGAGACTGTTGCTGAGATCTATCAGTCGGAGTACGAGAAGCCTGGCCCGAGCTGGACCAAGCCCTGTGTCAAGACGAAACCAGCCATGAAGATACCAAAAAATCTTGAGGAGCTCACTGAGTATGTTAATAAGGAGGTCGCCACTCTGTTTGGGTTCAAGACGAAGTTGCAGAGGGAGAATATGGTGATGAGGTGGAGCAGGAAGAGGAGGGACAGGGTGGACGAACTACTCGCGAGGGAGGCGCAGGCTGAGGAGGACGAGTGGACCAAGTTTCATCATGACGAGCTGGATGTTAAGAATGAACTCACTATTGCTATATTGGATACTCTCGTTTTGGAGACTACGAGCATTGTTAAAGCTGCTTTTATCAAGAAGCAGAAGATTTTTGTATAGGGGACGGGGGTTCCTTGGGCTCACTACGTCTGATGGATTTCGGTTTTAATTGTCCTTGTCACGAATGTCACTGACAACAGCTCTGGTTTGTAATTCAACGTCAGTGAGGACGAGATAATAATACTGGAGTCCAGTGGAGTCAAGTCAGTCAAGACGAAACCAGCCATGAAGATACCAAAAAACCTTGAGGAATTTACGGAGTATGGTAATGGGGAGTTTGACACTCTGTGCGGGTTCAAGACGAAATTGCAGAGGGACAGGGTGACGAGGACGAGTGGATCAAGTTTCATCATGACGAGCTGGACGTTAAGAATGAACTCACTATTGCTATATTGGATACTCTCGTTTTGGAGACTACGAGCATTGTTAAAGCTGCTTTCATCAAGAAGCAGAAGATTTTTGTGTAGGGGACGAGGGTTCTCCCCAGTCCGAAGTAGATTTAAAGAGTTTTAACGAAAAACAAATGGTAAGTCTAGACTTTGAGAGTCACGCTCAACTATCTTTAAACGAACTGAAAACAATTATTGAATTATCAATTGTAAGACTGAAATATCGGGGCCATTGACAGGTTTTTCACCATCTTATCAATTCTACAGCCTTCAACATCGAAATAATGTACAGATTTTAGTCGTTAGCTTCTGGTTTTCCTTTTTTTGTACCTGGACTTTTCGCTTCTTGCCAAGAAGATGTGTGTTTTTTTGTGGGGAACTTGAGTTCTACTTGAATAGGTTGTGATGTACATATTATTACAGGTTTCAATGCGATTTTTATGGGGGGACTTGGGGTTGTTGATTTATTCAGTGTTTTTTGTCGATTATGACGAATGAAAAATCGAGGGAATCACGGTTGAGCTTGAAAGTTACACAGTTAGTTTGAGTATGTAGTGTTAATATTGTATGTACTTAATTACTTTATGATATATTTTATAATAAACTTTGGAGATTGAATCACTGGTTGGCAATTTATTTAATTGTTTGGCGACCTTACAAAACCCCTTTACCTTTATTTGTGTGAGGACACCACGTGGAATTATACGACATAACATCCGAACAAGAACATCCACATCGCAAAAACAATATTAAGATATTTTTGTAGACGTCTTTAAGATCAAGGAGAATCGTCTTAACCCTTAAGACAATTTGACTGTCAGATTTAAACGCCCTTAAGGGTCATTATCTTCAAGAACGTTTGACTTTCAAGTAAAACGAAAGAAAAAATTTTTCGTTAATTTTCCTAATTTTAAACATTTTTTAGGGGTCAAATCTCTACTCATTTTAAGAGCGCTAGATTTTTATCTTGAAGTAAGATGCAAAACGATAATATTCATCTTAAGGCTCGGGTGTACTGTCTTTCGAATGTTATCAGGATTTTTTTTATCTTTCGTAATCCAAAATTGTCAATTGAGTGGTACATCATGCAGAAATTCCCAAAAATTATGATAGAATGATAAAAAAAATAGAAAAAATTCTGAACTTTTTCAAAGAGCGTTTTCAATTGAGATTCAGAATGAGTTGAAAAAAGTGGAAATTACAAATATCTGATTCGCTGTGGCAAATTATTTATTGGCTGTCATTTTCCATTGTGGATAACAAAACACTAACTCCTCGTGGGAAGTGACAGCTAGGTATCTCAATTTTCAAAACAGTGGTATGTAGTCATCTGCCATTTTTATGTGATAAAAGTGTGATTAAAAAATTCTCAAAAATATTACAACTGTTTTCAAAGACCCTTTTCCGTAATAAATGTCTCTGTGCCATGTGGGAAAAGATTTACGAAATCATTCTCCCCCCTGCATGATATTGGGTGACAGGCCGCCATTTGTCACCGTAAATCAGATACATTTTTTAATTTCTTGTTCTTCAACTTATTCTGAATATAAATTAAAAATGCTCTTTGAAAAAATTAAGAATTTTTTCTACTTTTTTTTGATTATTCATTCATAATTTTTCAAAACTTCTGCATGATGCAGAACTCAATTGACAATTTCAGATGACGAAAGATGAAAAAAAAAATCGAAATAACGTTCGAAAAATAGTACACCCGGGCCTTAAATCATATTTTAAAATTATCGTAAAATAATTGTTCCAGTGTAATGGAAAATCAAAAAACCACTGGGTTTTTTATTTCTTCACCTGGGAATGAAAAAAAAAATCGTCAATACTAGAGAAAAAAATCATTTATTTCAATTCATCAAGTCTTCCAATCCCATATTTATTTCGGCAATGCCATCGTTTCATATGAAAAAAACATGTGTCAAGAATGGACGATACAATTATCTTCGTATTTTCTCACAATGCTCTAATGAAGAAAACAGGGCGTAATAAAGTAAAATAATCGGACGAATAAGAACAGTGTAAAGGAAAAAATGAGCGTACTGGTAATATTAGATATAAATACATTAAAACTTAATGAATTAGAAAAAAAAGATGTAGATCGCAAGCATATCTCTTCAATCTCTAAAACCACACAACAATGAAAAATAGTTTCGACTTAGTTATCTTGATAAAACAAGTCGATGAAAACGTGGGAATATATTATCTCTATGATATACTTAAATAACTATTTCAAATCGCCACAAAGGTTTTTCCTGTTCCATTCGATATCTAAATTGCATCAGCATTGTTTTTGTATTTTACCCAATGAAAAAAAAACGTCATGAGTTCAACTAATACGGTAATAATTCATTGTACCTATCGGCTAAATTCTAACATCAGTGTTTTAATTCAACACCTCTTAATCGATGAAGAGATGTGTAATCGATAAAAAGGATAAAGCGAAAAATTTATTTATCTATTATCTCCAGAGGCATGGTATCATCCCCCGTTCACTTAAAGTTTTTTACGTCCGAGCGATAAGGATAATTTATCTAAAATTGCCATCGCATCTCCCCATCTAAACCTATTTTTAACATTAATTCATAATTGGCACCAAGTCGTTTTACGATTAAGATTTCCTCAAATGATAGGTTTTCATTTCTTCTTTGCGTTATACATGTTAAATGGGCGTTACATATGAGCAGAAGTGAGCGACAGATTACCAAGTTATCCTTTATTTTTGTTCAAGAAAATACCTACGATTCCCCCCCGCAATCGTCTTGTTTCACCCTAGTCTGGTCACCTGACGGGAAAATGCGACTTTAGTCATCTTCGCGGGAGAGTGCCGCCGGCTTATTGAGGCTCCAGCGTTGCCGAATCCACTCTACACTTCCCGGGCGCGTTTAGCGAGTTCCCAGCAACGTCGCGCAACAGGCAATGTCATTTAAGGGGAAACGGAACCCCTGCGTTTATATGAATCTTTAGAATTGTGTTTTCTCCTGCAATTATGATTTTTTATCCATTAAACTACTTCATTGACTCAACAATGTGATAATCGAGTCGATAAGTCAATTTCATAGATAGAAATTAATAATTGTAGGAGAAAAACAATTCTAAGATTTGATGTAGACAAAGGGGTTCCGTCTCCCCTTAACACGGGAAAAAATTGTTCACCTGTTGGAAATAATTTTTTTTCTCTCAGAATTAAGGATACAATACTGCAAAAAAAAATACTAGAATTTTCCAGATACTTCGATTGACGAATTCAATTTTTCTGAAATTTTTCCGGTCAACCAGTCGATGGCAAGGTGAATAAAACGACGTGTTGCGGCAATTCCCTCGCATGGTGACCAGTCTAGGGTTACGCAAGTCTTTGTGGAGTTGATTTATAAATTATAGAACACTTTTGTGCAGTATTTTTACAAATCACTTTGAATAATCAGGGGGGAGTGGGGCAAAATGGAGGGTCAGAAGAAGTCCTCGAGGGTCATTTGACCCACAACTAAAAACAAAACAAGTTTTTTCATTCGTCCTAGTTCTTAATTTTCACCGGGTCAAAGGGGGTTGAGCCTTAAGACTATTTCACCCTCAAGTAAAAACACCCCTGAAGGTCATTTAACCCTCATGACAATTTGACCTTCAACTTTAAAAGTCCTCAAGGGTCAGTTAACCCTCAACTGAAAACAAAAAAAAGTTTTCTCAAGTTTTTCGTTTTTCGAGGGTCAAGCGGGGTTCATTTTTCATTTTTCTAGTTTTAAATTTAGTTGAGGGTCAAAAAGGGTCATTTGACCCTCTTTTCCTTATGCTCCATTTTTCCTCAATCTCCCCCGAAAATTCTGTGATTCCGTCGATGTTTCGATTGATTACAATCTAAGAGGAGAGAATCTTCACATCAATTGCATTCACCCTACCCTCTACATATTTTTTCAATTTTTTTAATGCAACACGATCGAAATTCATCGATCAAACGAATATCAACTGTTATTGATACTCAACATCGTTAACTATTGTCAACTGATGTGGATTCCACTGACAATTTCAAGTTGCATTGTCCCTAGAAAATTCCAAATCGTGTTCTCTCCCCCCAAAAAAAATTCGAGACACATATCACAAGACGAAAAACAACTCTCCATCCCTAAACAATAATCGTGAATCCCCCCCAAGCCCTTTAAAATCGAATTTTCAACATGTAACAGGACTCACAATAGTTTCCACGTAATGGATGATTGTCGCATAACCACATCTCGCCAAAAAGCCAACACTCCCCTCGACTAAACCAAAAAATCAACTAATCAGGAAGAGAATGATCCTGAATCCACGACAAATAAAAAATGAAAAAAAAAAATAGATGACAGGCAAAAGCTCAAATATCACTCGATAAACCGAATGCACGTGTCATAAAATTAATTACGTATCCCATAAAAATCTTCCACACACCCTCACTCGTAACATTAATAATAAATATATAGAAAAAAAATGCTTTGAGTACTCAGTAATAAAAAAAATTGAAGAAAAACATTTTTTATGTATAACGTAATTAAATGAAAACATTTGTACTTCAGCAGTATAGAGCAGTCATAGTATATCATTTAGTACATAATTATCATTATATATACATTTTAACACTTCCTGCTATTCAGCCCTCGCACCAGTGTCTTGAATTGTCTTTGTCGCGTAAAACTAAAGAACAGCATGAATATCGGCGATTGAAGAGGTCTCGGGGGTGAAAAAAAAATTACTGAAATGGGGAGAAAAGTTTGGGACATGAATTCTCTTCCGACAGGGGACGAACAAATCTGGGGGGTAGCTTGAGAAATTTGTTCATTTTCAAGGAATTGGATGGAACGAGTTGAAGGTGATCTGAAGAGGATAAATAATTATTAGAACTGTTCAAAAATACAAGGTGGTTGACAGGTGGGCGCCGCCATCTTGGTTGGATACCCCCTCTCTGCCGGAAGGGGTTTCAAAGATGGCGGCGCCTCCACCTCGCCTTTTTAAATATTTATTAAAATTATTTATCCTCTGCAAATCAGGCTCAACTTACTTCATTCGATTTCTATAAAATGAACAAATTTTTTAAGCCATCTTTCAGATTTTTGCAAGTTCCTTTGAGTGAGAATTCATGACGTTTTCCCTCGCATTTCAGCATTTTTTTTCTACTCCCAAATCCTCTTAATTTCGGAAATAAAAAACATTTTGTGCGCATTTTGAGATAGCAATGAGATAGCACCGTTTTCCATTATTCGAATAGAAAATTAATTGCAATCCAAGATTTTTGACGAATTTTTGTTGATTCTAATCACGTGATTTTAAATAATATCGAAGAATTAAAGGAATAATATTCACATGTCGATTCTCCATTCTCTCGCCTCAATTATGTATTAACCTTAATATTAACGAAGTATTTGGCCGTTTCAATGTGATTCTCTCTCTCTCTTTCTCTCTCTCTCTCAAGTTTCCGAATGGATAAAAAGAATAAATGATCGGTTAAGACTAGAAAATTTTGAAGGGAGCCTATCCCAATGGTTCATCATTGTTCCTTCGCTTCGATCGATATATTTTGTTCTCTATATATTAGTTATATTCAAGTTTTTATCATTTTTTTTCAATATATTAGTAATGTATGATATGTTAATTCACAACTTGATGTGAGCGCTTAAAGTTGAAAATTTCCTTAATATCATGAATGTACATATATTTTTCTTTCTTTTATATTTAGAGTGCCTTTATCGCTTAATTAAGTACATCTTAGTTTTTTCGTCGTGAGAGTCAAGTGGGCGATGTTTCTCCTCCAGTTTCAACTCTATTCTGGGGGCTCGGGAGTGAAAAAAATGATATTTCAGCCAAAACGGGATGGAAAAACCTGAAAGATGGCTTTAAAAAATTGTTCATTTTGTAGAAACAAGATGACGTGAGGCAATGGTGACCTGAAGAAGATAAATAATTACAGGAACAGTTTGAAAACGCGAGGTGGAGGCGCCGCCATCTTGGAAGCCCCTTGTGGCAGAGGGAGGGGGTGTCCAAGCAAGATGGCGCCCGCGGCTGTCCACCACCTCGTATTTTCAAACATTTCTTATAATTATTTAGCCTCTTCAAATCACCTCCAACTCGTTGCATTCCATTCTCGGGGAATGAACAAATTTTTCAAGCAATCCTTCAGATTTTTTTCGTCCTCTTTTGGAAGAGAATTCATGGCCCAAATTCTTCCCCCCATCTCAGTCATTTTTTTTACCCTCGAGGCCTCGCAAATCATCTTCGTTCAGAGGGATTTCTTTTCTGAGGACTATTTAACGAAAATCAGAGAGAAATAAAAGTTTTTAAATTACAAATCTTCCACTTGACTCCAGACATCGCAATATTAATTATTCCGAAGAAAAAATTGAAGATTTCCTCGATAAATTCCCCCAAATTATTTGGAATAAACATTTCTAAAATAATGATATGATGATTGTGCAAATTCTGAGCAAATTAATCTTATCATAATTCCAACAATTGTCATTTTCTTTTCAATATAATTCTCTCATGAGCATGTTCAGCTACAATTTAGATTGGAAAAACACAATAACTCACTTAAGATATGCAATTCCACACTCGTTCATATTAAAACAATTTTACCCCACTATAATTTCTTCTCCCTCCCCTCCCCCCCCCATGAAATTGGCTAGAGATAAATTCATTTCAATTCATTTTACTAGTCTAGATTCAAGTAATAAAAATAGATTGCAGAGATACTTAGCGCATGCACCTAAGGAGTCACGCCCACGAAGAGATTTTTTAATTCCTCAAATAGGTCTCGACGATTTAACTTTTTTTTTTAATGGTTTCAAATATTCTCTAGATTACCTCGCGCTGCTCCTCCAGACGCCGGTGGCTACTTATTTTTTATCGAGTATATAGGTACTGAACTCCTCAATCTCCTTGATAGATTCATTGAATATTTCCTCTCGACGATCGCTCTCCAATTTTTTTCGCTGTATGGAGATGGTTATCTCGAGTATTGGGATGAGTATTTGTTCCATGTCTCATGCGAATGCTCTCTGGTTTGTTTTTTTTCTGATATCACTTTGTGCGGGCAAGAACTTTTTTTATTATTTAGGGGTTGAACGGATCGTGTTCCAAGTCCGATATGTGTTATACAAATTTCGCTTGCTGTTTGCGCTGTCCTCGCTGAGGATTTGTCGTGGTTTGGGCAGGCGATTCACGTTTCAGGCCTTGTAAAATTCTTCCAAGTATCTGAATGGAGAACATGGAAATTATTTGACTGAACGATTTGAAGAAAATGGGAAAATAATCAGGAAGTGAAGAGAATAAATTTTTTTGATTAAATTCGTGACATTAATATAAGTATTTGTTTCCATTTTCATTTGTTAATTCTGACTAGATTTTTCATTTTATTCATTCTGCGTTTTTCTTCTGTAGTCTCAAAATAAAAGGCAATGAGTAAAATTTATGACTTTCGGGGAAAAAAAATAATCAAAGAAATGTCAAGAGCACAGTCTGACTCACCGGTTCATTGCAAATCCTCCTCGCACTTGGGAATGTCGAAAATTTCAGCGAAGAGAGGTGGTAATTTGAGCTTTGTCCAATTTCTCCTGAACCAGTCGAGTAAATTAGCGTGTCTCGAGCCGAGGGCACGTAGTTCGGGTATCCTCTGGGCAATTCCAATGACCCCAGGGCAACCAACGGCAGATATATCGGACGAGTGATTTCTCCCACCCTGGATCCTCAGGGCCTCGAGGAGACGATCCTGGAGCCTCTGCACAGCTTTAACATCGTTCAGTCCGGGTCTCTCACTGAGGAGAACAGCCCCGGAGAAGAGACCCAGCTCTGCGTCTGACAGCTGGTGGGCATTCAGGGCTGATGTGAATTGCATCAGGGCAGCAACGAAATCCGGCTGTTCAATTTCATGAGAAAAATTTATCATCAAATAAATGAATTTTTTTTTTTTTTTCAAATATTCAATTAATTTTTGGACCCTCAGGAGGGTACGTTCAGCTACAGGTAAAGATGTCCTTCNTTTTTTTTTTTTTTTTTTTTTTTTTTTTTTTTTTTAGCTTCCGGACCCTTATGAGAGTTCATTCAGCTGCAGAAAAAGAATTCCTTCATATACATATGTCCGTAACGATTAAATATACGTATGTAACTAATGCCTGGGCATTAGTGCTATGAGTGCAGCAGAAGTTAAATAATTCAATTGAAGAGAAATTTTTTTTTTTTAATATTCAAGTAATTTTTGGACCCTCGGGCGGGTACGTTCAGCTACAGGTAAAGATGTCCTTCATACACATCAACAAGTGACAAATTTAATGTTNTTTTTTTTTTTTTTTTTTTTTTTTTTTTTTTTTTTCATAGCTTCCGGACCCTTATGAGAGTTCATTCAGCTGCAGAAAAAGAATTCCTTCATATACATATGTCCATAACGATTAAATATACGTATGTAACTAATGCCTGGGCATTAGTGCTATGAATGCAGCAGAAGTTAAATAATTCAATTGAAGAGCGGAGATACGAGAGAAGAAAATAATACTTGATGAAGAAATACTGATTTACCTCATACATGAGTTCAATCTGCTGTTTAGTGATGTAAGTGCCATCCTCGAAGGTCATTGAACTGTCATTAGTCATCTTGGATATGTGACATAGCCAGACCTCGAAGAAGCCAACTTTAATGAGTATAAGTTGGTCGTCTTGGGTCAATTCACAGAAACCAGGTACTCTCTTGGCGAATTCAACGACTCTCTGAACAGAGGGAGTGACGCGAGTGGCAAATTGTTGCCACAGCCAAATCCTCTGGGACTCAACAGCTTCGGCCGTTGATGAAGCCGCCTCAGGATCTTCGGGGCTTGCAGGCTGCAAATCAATTTGTCAATTGTTTCCTTCTGTTTTAGTTTTCGTTGAATATCTTGAGATCTAATGGGAGTGGCGAAATTTTGGTCAAGAACTTTTTTCTAGAGAATTTCAAGAGCTTCAAAAAAGCTTCTCGGTAAAATTCTCCTATCTCGCTTAGAATTTGAGATATTCAAGGAAAACTGGCGCTTGAAAGAATGTAATTACTCTGAAGAACTCGAAAACTTGATTTCAGTTTTTGATGAATATCTCGGCATCCAGTGGAAATAGCAAAATTTACATAATGAACTTTTTTGCAGCCCTTAAAATCCTCTACAAAAAAGTTGCTGAGAAGAATTTCGCCATCTTCCATAGATTCCAAGATATTCAGCAAAAACCCAGAAAATGAAAATCATCGTCTTTATGATCTCGTCATTGTCATTGAAAAAAATGATGAACCCATTGTTGAAAATTGATGATTAGAACTCACAGGCATGATCATTGGCTTTTTGATGAGTCCCCTCGTCGACTCATCAGTGAAGCCACAGTGTGCATGATGTGCCTGTGACACCTGAAGAATGACATCGTAAACCGCCAATTGCTTGCTATCACCATCGGACTGATCCGCCTCGACAACTGTCGCCGATGGTACCCGGGGTATCACACTCTGCGGCTGATTACTATTAGTACTGCCGTTATTCGTTACATTATTGTTGCTAGCTGTCGTATTATTATTGTTATTTATATTGTTATTGTTGTTGTTGTTGACTGCCGATGATATTTGTTGATTTCCACCCGTAACTGTTGTTGTTGTCGTTGTTGGCGATGTCGTGGCCACTGAGTCCTCGGGGCCGCGCTCTCGTGAACGCTTTGGCACACGCCCGTACCGCACAGCTGATCATAAAGTTATTCGTGTCATATCGGAAACCAATTGCGAATTAGAAATTAATCAATTCAAGCTTTTTTTTTCCAATTCGTAAACTTTTGTTTTTACCCTTTTGGGAATATCTAGAGATTGACTGGATTGAGGAGAAAATGTCATAAGACCTTTTTCTTAGGTAATGAAATTTCTGACAAAAAATATTTTCTGACATTTTCTCCTAAAACCACTCGTTAACGAGATAACTCGTCATGTAACAGAATGGAGACGAATGTGTTCACTTCGAATCGCATTTTTCCTTTTCACAAATTGTCATTTATCTTGATAACGAGTGATTTGACGAGAAAATGTCACAAGATTTTTTTTGTAGTGAACAAAATTTTCAATAAATAATGTATTATGACATTTTGTCCTGAAGCGACTTGTTATCGAGTTAATTGGACATTTAGCGAGAGGGAAAAAAATGACCCATCCCACGGACCCCAGTCGGATGGAAATCAAGACTCCCCTCAACTTTGACGTACAATTATGCAGGCAAGTTTCCCTCCGGTTTACTCAACCCCTTTCCAACGAAAAGCTAGAGGTAGCTCAAAAGCCCCCAAAGCACGGAGACGCTTCCGGCGTTCATGCATAAGTATACTTGCAACTCTGCATGTTACAGCGAGCACATGTGCTCGCATCAATCCCAGGATTTCTCAACAATCAGGAGCAAAAAGATTTTTCATAATTCAGCGGTATGATTGTAATACTTACAGTCACGTGACATGCCAACGGCTAGGCACTTTCTGAATCTGCAGTATTGACAACGATTTCGGTTCATTCTTATCACGAGACACTTGCCGTCCCGCAAACACCTGTACTCTATCTGCTTTTGAATGCTTCGTCGAAAAAAACCCTGGAATTTGAAAAGAAAAATATATTTTTCTTCAAGTAATTTGCAAGAATGTGAACACGCAGAGAAATATTCGGTAAAAATTACACGGAGAAAAATTTCTAGTAAAATTTACCCTACCGTATAGCAATCGTGTTGTATACTGGCTCTGAAGGAATTTTTACCCTGACATTGTAGTGAAAGTGCTATGAGTCTAGTAAAAATTGATAAATTTCAAATTTTTCAATCATCATTTGAACATTCATGACAGTGAAAATCCATGAGGATGATAAAATCAATGGTAAATGTGGTAACTCCCAACAGCTTCGGAAAAAAACTGATCCAAGTAACTAAATTCAAGGCTTCATAATTTTCCAACAGTCTTCAATCAATCCTAACCAGAGATAGCCACATTTGTAATATTTTAATGTAATATTTGAAATTATGTCACTGAAAAATTTGAAAATGCCGCGTGTTTTTTTTTGCGAATAACTTCGTGTCACATATTGACCAATCAGAATTAAGGATTAGCGGTCAGGCAGTTTCGAGATATTTCGATATAAAACAACTTCACGTTTCTTTCCTCTTTAGTAAATAGGACAAGATCTATGCGCGCGCTCTCGCGCGCGCTGATCTATTCATTTGTTGAAATGAAGAAATGGAATTCATTAAATTTCATTTTCTCATGAATACCTTATAAATATTGATAATGAATCAAAGAGAATTCGACTAATGATTGAAGTGAATAGCGAAGTAGAGTAAAACAATCTATAAAGAATTTTTAATTTTCAATTAATTATCTTCAATTTTTTAAAATAATCGGTCTCCATAAAAGAACAGGATTTATTAATTTCACCGATAATATATATACATGTGAAATATATATATTATATATATGACCTGAAAAAAAAATTTACCGCTGAAGAATTTCAAAATGCCGCGTGTTTTTTTTTGCGAATAACTTCGTGTCACATATTGACCAATCAGAATTAAGGATTAGCGGTCAGGCAGTTTCGAGATATTTCGATATAAAACAACTTCACGTTTCTTACCTCTTTAGTAAATAGGAAACAGTGGAATAGTGGAATTCTATTGGCTGAAATTTGGATGAGAAGAATTCTCAATAGAAAATGCAACTTTCTTGTTGAAATTTCTGCCATCACGTAATATTCAATTTTTATCACGCTGTGACGAAAAGTGAACTTTTCGGCACGCTCCGCGTGCCTAAAAGTCCAATTTCCGCCACATTGTGATGAAAAATATTGTTCGTAACTCATGAAAAAATGTTTTTTAGCTCGTGGGATTATATCACTCGCCTTCGGCTCGTGATATAAACCTCCCACTCGCCAAAAAACACTTTTTTGCACTCGTTACGAAATATACTATTTCCACCTTCCATTATTAAAACCCCTCCCCTCATCCACAAAAATCCAACAATCGCAGTGTTTCCCACAAAAATAATGCACATCTTCGGAGTGAGAATTTCATTCACCACCGAGTAGATGCAATTATTTATTTATGATATCCTGTCGGATGACTCGACGCATCTAGCCGGGGATCACCCTCCTCACAGGGGCGATGAAAACACGGACTGGGGGAGTGGAAAACGGGGTAGAATGGTAATGCATATTTCAAGTTCCCAGCACTCGTCAACAGTCAGGTATGCTACGCGTTGGGGAGGAGCGGAAAGAGGGTTCTAGTGATATTGGAAAATGTTTTATCACGCCCCCAGGAGAGACAGAGAACGAGAGAGGGATGAAAACAGAGACAAGTGCATCAGTGCGTGAAAGCCTCCGCTCAGGTATTTATATTCCTCTGAGTATTATTATACATTTTATTGAATTTTTCGGGAATAACATGGGGGGGAATTCGTGTTGCAGACAATCTAGTCGATGTAAAGTAATTGGAATATTTTTGTAATGCAGGGGTTTTGATAATTTTCATGTATTTTGAACTGTGTATTGGAAGATTAAAGGAACCCCTGATGAGGGTCTCCCTGGAGAGGGAAACGTTGGGTCGTCGATAAAAAATCCTTTTATCAACTTTTTATTGAACCTGTCAAATTGCTGGAGACCGCCTAGGCCAATTCTTCCAACACCATTATTAAAAAAATATTTTTTCATCACGCTGTGCGAAAAAGTAACTTTTTAGGCACGCTTTGCGTGCCTAAAACGTCCCTTTTCCACACATTGTGATGAAAAATATCGTTCGATACTCGTGGGAAAAGTGTTTTCTGGCTCGTGGCAGGTACATAGCCCGAGCCGAAGACGAGTGATATAATCCCACGAACCAAAAAACACTTTTCCGCACTCGTAACGAGATATACAATTGTTTGATGATTTTATTTTTGAAAAACAAAAATTCTGATATTTTCATGGATTCGGGAGGATTAGATTATCATGGGCGATTGTGGAGGATGAATTGAAAGTTTTATAATGTTTTATAATGTTTCGTCTTCTTTTATGATTGTTTTTTTGGGCTTTGGGAGTGACAATGTCGAGAGGGGGTGATGCAGGATTAATTCGCGATTCACTTCCTGGTTTTTGTTGAGATAAACAGCATTTTAGCCAGGATAGTACTGGCGCGCAAGTCCACGGAATATCGATGCACCTGGCGTTTACTCCTGGGCTATTTAGCCACCCGCAGCATCAGCCCGTACGCTCCATAACAATTCTCCAAAAAAAGTGAGTTTTAGTCGTGGATATTGAGGGAAAATGAACGCTTGGGTGTTGTTTATTGTAGAGGGAGAAAATTGAATTTTAGAGCGGGATGAATGATTTATGGAGAGATTCTTATTCATTTCTAGGTTCTGTTTTTTATTTTTTGGTAAAAGGCATCTGAGGTACTTCAAGTTATGCAAGTGCCATTTGAATAATATAAATATTTATAAATAAATGTAACGATCGGAATTTATAAGGATGATAAAATCAATGGTAAATGTGGTAACTCCCGATAGCTCAAATGGTTGAAGAGCTGATTTGTAATCTGAAGGTTGCGGGTTCAAATCCCACTGGTGCACTAGCATTTTTTTTCTGACGTCTATGTACTGCATTGATGGTATAGAATTGATGACAATAATTTTTTATTCCGCCCGTTAGTTGAAGATTTTGATTGTTATAAATTATCAGGGTGATCTCACAGATGATGGGATGAACCGTCTAGTTGTCTGATGGATTTCAAGTCATTCAATTGTCATTTGAACATTGGTGACTGTCGGTGTTCATAAGAATGATAAAATCAATGGTAAATGTGGTAACTCCCGATAGCTCAAATGGTTGAAGAGCAGATTTTTTTTCTTTTTTTTCCTCTTTCAAAGCCTTTTTCTCTTTTTTTTTCAAGCGCACACAAAATAAAATACAAAGGAAACTTCAAAATGAAGTAGAGGTTCAAAATCCTCAAAAATAGAATAACAAATAATTCAAAACAAAACCCTAGAATAAGTTAAACGCGAGCGTCACAGAGTGAACAATGTCTATAAACCCAAATAAAATAGACTAATTTTTTTATATACCAGTTTTTTTACGTAAATAGTTGTAAATATTGTGAATAACACTTGCAAAAATGAATAAAAAACTTGGTTAAAAAAAAAAGTTGAGCAGATTTGTAATCTGAAGGTTGCGGGTTCAAATCCCATTGGTGCACTAGCATTTTTTTCTGAGGTCTATGTATTGCACTGATGACATTGAATAGATAGATTGAGTGTCTATTGAGTTTATAATAGTAGCTAAAGCTTATAACAGGATCAATCGTCCAGTTCTCGGCACTTGATGTTAGCGCGAATCTTCATCTCTGACTAAATTCTACATTACACAAGATCAATTAATACCACTGCAGCGCCATCATTCCTCCTTCACCATCAAATTCCCATTCACCTCACGATAAAGTCGCATGTGCATCCCCGAGAGTAAATCCCAGGTGTTTTCTCGAAGCTAGAATTACCTTTTCTCCCCATCCAAAGGATAAAATTCTTTTTACGTCTCTTGTTATTTCTTCTCCCTCCCTCTCCGCCCCCCCCCCCCCC